CCCGTGGCCGCCTGCGCCTCCAGCAGCACCAGGGCCGTGCCCTGCCTCAGGATGCCCTTCCACATGGCCTGGTAGATGCTCATCTTCTCCATCCTGCCGGGGTCGGCCTTGGAGGGCACCAGCACGCCGGCGATGCTTCCGGTTCCCTCGAGGTATCTCCTCACACTGTCCATCTGTGCTATTTCCTGAGCCGTCTCTTTTCCCTCGTGGAGTTTTTCTATGGTTTCCTCTGTAATTATCTGGGCACTGAGCAGTTCTGACGCTGTTATTTGTTGGCGGATTCCCTGGAACCAGACATCACTTCTGTCCTCCTCTTTTTCCCTGATGATCTTCAGTATTATCTCAATGATTCCCTGCAGTATGTGTTGAGATTCTGCTTTGTACTTTTTCAGCAGCTCTTTCCTTTTCTCCTCCGTGATGTACTCGGAGCAGAGGAGCTCCCACAGAGATAACACCTGTCCCTTGTATTTCCCCACGGGCACGTGGACCATTGTGCACAGCAGGGCGTTCTTCGTTTGCTCGTCGACGTAGAAATAGTCGTCCTGCTTTTCCAGGACCTGCAGCAGGAACAGGCCGCTCTCCCTGTCCTTGGCGCACCTCTGCAGGAGCTGACTGTAGCTGATCTTCTCGCGAGTGTTGGGGTCTATGAAGCCTTTGCTGCCGTGGTCCGGGTCCGAGAGCAGGAGGAACGTGTCCTCGTCCAGGTGCCCGCGCCGATAGGCCACGTCCAGGGGCAGGCGGTGGCCGTGCGCGGGGTCGACGATGCCGCCGGTGGCGAGCTGGGCCTCGAGCAGGCGGATGCCGTGGTCCCTGACCGTTCTCTTCTGCCTCACGGCCTGGAAGAGGGATATTTTATCTCCCGTTTGAGGATCCGTGTATCCCGTCACGGCTTTCTCTGCCAGCAGCAGCGGCTCGCGCAGTTCGCTGCCCACCAGCCCAGACGCCACGGCCTCGTCCACCGAGAGCCTCTGCTTGCTCAGGGGGTCGATGAGGAAGCCGGTGGCCGCCTGTGCCTCCAGCAGCCCCAGCGCACACTGCTCTGTGAGGAGGCCCCTCTTCAGCGCCTGGTAGATGCTCATCTTCTCCTTCCTGGGTGGGAGAAGAACCCCGGCGATGCTCCCGGTGCCGTCCAGGTACCTTTGGACGCTGTCCCTCTTTGTGAGGGCGGCCAGTGTGAGACTCCCATCGTGCAGCTGGTCCAGGGTTTTCCTGTCGATTATCTCGGAGCTGAACAGCTCTGACACCGACACCTCCCCCCCCCGCAGTCCTCTGACCTTGAGGGCTTCTGCTCTTTGCTCCGTGTCCTCGATGATTTTTAGGATGAGGGATATCAGGTTTTCCAGGGTCAGGGTTTTGCTTTTGTACTGCATCACCAGCTCTTTCCTCTTCTGCTCCGAGACGTAGTGAGAGCAGAGCACTTCCCAGACGGAAACCGTTTGGCCCTTGAACTTCCCAACCTTCACCTGGAGGGGCTTGGAGCGCAAAGCCTGTTTTGTGGACTCGTCGATGTAGAAGTACTTCCCTCCTTCCTTTACAACCTGCAGCATGTACAACCCGGTCTCGGGGTCTTGGACGCACCTCTCCAGCAGCTGCATGTAGGTCAGGTTCTCGTGGGTGTTGGGGTCGAAGAAGCCCTTGGTGTCGTCGCTGGGGTCGGACAGGACCTGGTTCATCTCCTGGTCGAAGTAGCCCCGTTTGTAGGCCACCTCCACGGGCAGGCGGTGGCTGTGCACGGGGTCGATGATGCCGCCGGTGGCGATCTGGGCCTCGAGCAGGCGGATCCCGTGGCTCTTCACAATCAGCCCCTGGTTCATGGCTTCGAACAGGGACATCGGGGCTTTGGTGTAGGGGTCGGTGTAGCCCGTCACGGCCCGCTCTGCGCAGAGCAGCTTTTCAAAGATCTCCCCTCCGATCAGACCCTCCTTTAGCGCTTCCTCCACGGAAAACTTCTGGTTTTTCTCGGGGTCGATGATGTAGCCGGTGGCTGCCTGAGCCTCCAGCAGCACCAGGGCAGTCCCTGGCCTCAGGATGCCCTTCCACATGGCCTGGTAGATGCTCATCTTCTCGTTGCTTGGCTGTATGAGGACCCCTGCTATGAAATTGCTGCCCTCCAGGTACCTGCGGACAGACTCCATCTCAGTGACTTCTTTGACTGTTTTCTTCCCCTGGTTGAGCTCATCGAGGGTCTTTTTGTCTATGAGTTGGGACTGGAAGAGGTCACTGGCAGATACTCTTTTCCTCAGGCCCTGGAACGCAAACTTCTTGCCCTGTGCCTCCGTCTCCTGGATGATCGTGGTGATAATCGTTGTGATCTCCTGCAGCACTTCGGCCTTCTCATCTTTGTACTTCTGCACCAGCTCCCTTCTCTTGCTGTCTGAGAAGTATTCGGAGTTGAGGAGGTCCCAGACAGACACCGTCTGTCCCTTGAACCGCCCCACGTTGACGCAGACGGTCACAGATTTCAGCACTTCCATGGTCTGCTCATCCACACAGAACATGGAGTTCTCCGACAGCGGGAGGAGCCACAGCCCCGACTCAGGATCGCGGACGCACCGCTCCTTCAGCTGCTGGTAGGTCACGTTCTCCTTGGTGTTGGGATCAAAGAAGACCTTGGTGCTGTCGTTCAGCTGAGACAGGGTTTGGTTCATGCCCTCGTCGTAGAAGCCGTACCTGCACGCGGCCTGGAGCGGCAGGTGGAGGTGGTGGATGGGATCGACCACCCCTCCCGTGGCCAGCTGGGCCTCCAGCAAGGGAACCGCCTCTGCCAGGGGGATCAGCTCCTTCCTGAGCGCCTGGCACAGGGAGATGGAGCTCCCCGTGTAGGGATCCGGGTACCCCGTCACGGCCCGCTCGGCGAGGAGGAGTTTCTCGGTGAGCTCCTCGCCCACGACAGCCGCTCTCACGGCGTCCCTCACGCTGAGCCTCCGGTTCGTTGCGGGGTCAGTCAGGTATCCCGTGGCTGCCTGAGCCTCGAGCAGCCTCAGAGCAGCCCCAGGGAGGAGGAGGTTGTTTTTCATGGCGTCATAGAAGCTCATCTTCTGTTTGGACGCCTCTATGAAGACGCCGGCGATGCTGCCCGTGCCCTGCAGGTACCTCTTCACGCTCTCCATGGCAGCCACTTCCTCGGGGGTTCTTATGCCCTGAGCCAGTTCCTCAAACGTCTTCTCAGAAATGATGCCAGTGTCCAGCAGCCAGACCACGGGGACGCTGCCCCGCAGGCCCTCCAGGGAGATCTGGGTCCGGGCCTTCATCTCCATGTCCCCCACGAGCCGGAGCACGAGAGCCACCAGCTGCTGCAGCGGCAGCTCCTTGGAGCGGAACCTCTCCACGAAGTCGCTCCTCTGCTCCTCAGTGAAATACCCCGAGTGGATGAGCTCCCAGAGGGAAACCCCTTTCTCCTTCACCGTGGTCTCCTTGAAAATCCGTTGGATTTGCTCGTCGGTGTAGGCAGGAGCAGCCGCCTGGGGCAGAGGCAGCAGGTGGAAGCCGGAGACGTCGTCCTTCTGGCAGTGCTGGATTAGCTCAGCGTAGGTCACGGACTCTTTGCTGTCCGGGAGGCAGAAGGCTCTGTGCTCGTCGCTGGGCTCGGAAAGGGCCTTGCTCGTGTCCTCATCCAGGCACCCTCGCTGCTGGGCCGACTCCAGGGGGATGTGGTGGCCACACGCTGGGTCAATGATGCCTCCCGTGGCCATCTGCACCTCCATGAGCTGCATGGCCTGTTTGTCCGTGATCAGGCCCTTCTTCATGGCCTGGAAGAGGGGGATCTTCTTGCCCGTGAAAGGGTCTTTGTAGCCCGTCACGGCCCCCTCCGCGTGCTGCAGCTTCTCGTGGACGTCCGGGCCGATGACTCCCTCCCTGACAGCCTCGTCCACACGGAGCTTCTGGTTGTTCACGGGGTCGATGATGAAGCCCGTGGCAGCCTGGGCCTCCAGCAGGGGCAGGGCTACCCCTGGCACCACAATGTTCTGCTTCATGGCCTCGTAAATGCTCATCCTCTGGTTCGACGGCTGGAGCACGATCCCCCCGATGCTGCCCGAGCCGTAGAGGTACTTCCTGACAGAGTCCATGTGCAGGACCTGCTCCGGCGTGACGGATCCCTCCAGCACCTTCTCGAACAGGGCCCTGTCGATGACGCCCGTTTCCATCAGGTGGTAAGCACTGACGCTGCCTCGCAAGGCCGGGAACTTGATGGGGGCCCACTTCTTCATTTCCTCCTCCAGCAGGAGCCGGATCTGCTCCAGGCTGAGCTTCCGCAGCTGGAAGTGGTTGAAAATCTCCCGGCGCCTCCCCTCGCTGAAGTACTCGGAGTTCAGCAGGTCCCACACAGAGACCCTCTCCCCCCGCAGGCGCCCGAACCTGACGGGCAGCCAGGAGCCCCTGAACAGCTGCCTGGTGGCCTCGTCGATGAACTGGCGCTTCCTGCTGTTCAGAGGGAGGAGGCAGAGCCCGGTGGAGGGCTCGGTGATGCACTTCTCCTTCAGCTGCAGGTAGGTCAGGTTCTCGTGGGTGTTGGGGTCGAAGAAGCCCTTGGTGTCGTCGCTGGGGTCGGAGAGGATTAAATTCATCTTCTTGTCGAAGTAGCCCCGTTTGTAGGCCACCTCCACGGGGATGCGGTGGCTGTGCACGGGGTCGATGATGCCGCCCGTGGCGATCTGGGCCTCGAGCAGGCGGATCCCGTGGTCCCTGACGATGAGCTCCTTCTGCATGGCCTGGAAGAGGGAGATCTTGCTCCCTGAGTAGGGGTCTCTGTAGCCGGTGACCGATTTCTCCGCAGCCAGCAGCTTGTCGTAAACGTCCGGGCCGATGACGTTCGCCCGCAAGGCCTCGTCCACGGAATACCTTTTGTTGGCAGTGGGGTCGATGACAAACCCCGTGGCAGCCTGTGCCTCCAGGAGGATCAGAGACGTCCCTGGCCTTAGCAGTCCTTTCCTCTTTGCCTGGTAGATGCTGATCTTCTCCTGGGAGTCGGGGAGCAGCAGCCCGGCGATGCTCCCCGTGCCCTGCAGGTACTTCCTGACCGTGTCCATGCCCACGACTTCTTTGGCCGACGTTTCGCCCTCCTTGAGCTTCTTGAACAGGTCTTTGTTGATAATTTCCGAGCTCAGGAGCTGGTCGGCCGTCACCTGGTCCCTCAGGCCCTCGAAGGTGACGTTGGCAGTGGCAGCCGTTTCCTCGAGGGCAGCCCTGAGGGCCTCACCCAGCCCTTGCGTGGAGAGAGCTCCCGACAGGAACTGCTGGGCCAGAGCAGCCCTTCGCTCGCCCGGGATGTGGTCAGAGAAGAGGAGTTTCCAGAGGGACACCGACTTGCCCTTGAACTTCCCTACAGAAATGGGCACCCGCGTGTTTTCCAGAGCCATTTGGGCCCTGTGGTCGAAGAAGAGGGGGGTTCCCTGGGGTCCTTCACCGCCGTCCCCACCGAGCGGCAGCAGCAGGAGCCCCGTGCCGGGGTCGGTGACGCAGCGCTGGAGCAGCTCCGAATAGCTCAGCTTTTCCTTGGAGCTGGGGTCAAAGAACCCTTTCACGTGGTCGGGAGGGCTGGAGAGGAGCTGTCTGGTGGGCTCGTCCAGGTACCCCCACTCGCAGGCTGTCTCCGTGGGGACACGGAGGTGCCTGCCTGGAGCAATCACACCCCCCGTGGCCATCTGAGCCTCCAGAAGGCAGAGGCCATGGTCCCTGGGGACAAACCCCTTCCTGATGGCTTGGAACAGGGAGAGCATCTCCCCAGTGGAGGGGTCTCTGTATCCAGTGATGGTTTTCTCAGCTGAAGACAGTTTCTCATG